GCAATCAACATCTTCTACAAACACTAGTGAGTAAGAGCAATTTGTATTAAGAATTAGTAACGGCCAACATTTTACTCCTCTTGCATTAAACTCGTACATTTAATAATCAACATTTCGTACGTTATAGGTTCTTCTCGGTTATAAGACAGATGAAAAATCGACTCCTTTCGGTAGACTTTCATAGGAACGTAAGTGATCATTCGAAAGCTTGAATTTCCGGCTAAGGCACTGTGTGGCCAGTTTTTTAAAAAAGCCTTTTTAAAAAACGCTATAAACCAGAATTAATTTATGTTTCACACGGTCACATGTTTTTTTTTTCTTATCTGGCTCATATTTCGCAGAGCAGAACTCCTTGCTTAGAATGCTGGTACTCATTCGATAACAGAAGTTTCGAGGAACTCAAAGATGTGTCTGCTTTTTGGAAAAGCTTTTTTATAGCCCTGTAGGTGAAAGAAAGGGCTTCACACCTCGCAGGACAGAGTTCTTTCTTTACACTATTAGTAATCAATCGATGGCGTAGGGATCAATTATTCCAACGCTGTACCTTTTTTCTGGAAATATCGCTTGCCAGGGAAATTTTGGTTGAATTTTACATTTTTGGCAAGCTTGTTTACTGGCTAATGTATGGGGCCGCGGGGGAGCTGGCGATCGATCCATGTCCTAACTGTTGGATATGTGGAGTGCGACTTCTTATTCAATTGGGGATTTTTTCTCCGCTTTCAAAGAAACATCAGATTAAACGATTGGCTGAGATACTGTGGAAGTTTCCCTACATATTGATATGCTTTTCATGCTTGCAGCGAATTATACGCGAATAGAAATGAATGCGCACGGCGGGTGTGAAACACAACTTTGTTTTCATTTTTACAGCGTTATTAAAGGATGTTTGATAAGCCGGCCACGTAGGTTTCTAGCCATAAATCTAAGCTTTCGAAAGATTCCTACCACTCCTATGAAAAATTCTTGTGTAGCTGATGAAGTCGAGTATTCATTTGTTCCCTTATAACCGAAAGGAACCCGATTTAAAATAATCAAGAGTTATTACATTTTGAGATAATCAGTCTGTGTTTCATTATTGCCAATAGTAATATACATTATGATATTCCGACCTATAATACTATACAACCTTAAATTGAACGCATAAAACGCGTACGAGCACATTTTCGATGAGCAGTGTTGAAACAATCCAAGTAATGTTTCACACATTGGCTTTGGCCCATATGCCAAATCTTTATTACATACAATATACTGTCTACCATTTGGTGGTGTGATAAATGACCTTACGATGAGGCGGCTGGATGTCGGCTCTAGAGTATTGTTGTCTGGTAAGTAGGTGGCATACTTATCTAGGGAAGGAGATTGTCTACACATAGTTATCGTAAATTTTCCGGACCTTCACCAAACACGTATTGTCACCACAGGCGGACTTGCCTGACTGTCGAAATAGATATTGAATGCACGTACCATTTACATGTGTTTCTAAGGTATAAGCAGTAGTGAACCGCTTGGTCAATGAAAACTACAAGCTTTTTCTTGGTTTAACTATCCACGGCCTTGAATTTCCTTGTTGTTGAATCGATGGCGAAGTCGTGCGCTGTTGAGATCATTACAAGTTCTCTCTTTTCATTTCACTCGGGTACCACTACGCCGTTGTTCTGTACGACCAATGCCTGCCCTTGTCCAGCTGTTGCTGCATGAGTTACCCAGGCAATCTCCGTCTATCGTTTTTGCATGTTTTGGTTGAAACCCTTTTTTCTCTGTTATAGGCTTTCGGCAAAATCAACACTGATGTACCAATTGTTAGTACAGAGGTATCGGCCTTCATCTAGTAAGCCATCCGTGGAGTCCATACCGTCTGCGATACCGTCTGTTGCTCGTCCGGCGTGCGTAATAGGTGTGCCTGCATTTTTTGTACGGGAATTTGTTCTAATTGTACTTTCCTACACTGCGCTGTTTGAACAGTTTTGTCCCGTATCTGTGCTTTTTTATTAGGGATGTTTCTCTCGAATTACGATTTTCCTTTGAAGGGCACCACTGATTTGTCGACGCACGTTTTTCTTTCAGGTCTTTATACACCTTGGCAGTTGTTATTGACAAGTACTAGGGGGCTTTTGAGCTTGTGCAACTTGCTTTACCATCTCAACTGGGATTATCGGCAAAATACAAATGTCTCATCATTCTCAAAAATCTATGCTTGGACATGAAACCCTGATCTAAAAGGATGTCCTGGAAAGGCGGATAAGCTCTGGAAATCTTTCAGATGTGGTGATTTACAATGTTCATTTGCATGCACAAAGCTGTGACTGTCATCTGACAAAGGCATTTTGCCATTTGGCGATATTTGTCTCGTTTAATCAACTGCCGAATATCGATCATGAGCAGTTTGTAGAAATCGACTGGCTTGTCACCCTACAGCAATACCGCCTATAACAATTTGCTCCTAGGTCATCTCTAGGTGCAACGGTGGACGACTGCACACTTCTGATTGCCCATTCACTTGTTACAATACCAGTATCTCAATCATGTTGGTGTACATCGTTCGGGCCATTATCTTAAGAACCACGTCGGGGTGCACAGGTCTTTCTCTGTTTTCGCATCTGACTCGTTACCAGTATCCTCATTAGAGTATCGTTAAGCGATCGAGCAAGAACTCCTAATCTTCTGCAATAACGACGGCGCTAAAAGGTAAGCTTTTGAAGAATTACAAGCAACGTACTAAAATATAGGCGTAGTTAAACAAGAATTGCACATCTAAATATTTCCTTGACGTATATTTACTCACAAATTCTACTATTGCGATCATACCACAGTCTGGTGGAAGTTGACCCATTTCGTCTACAGTTATTACATCTCACAATACTATACATTGAGCGTTTTCAGAATCTGAATGCAACAACATCAGCAGCTCTAAAATGCCTACACCACTGTAAAATAAGGGTAAAGCTCTTGGGATTGGTTAATCGCTGAGGGATGCGTTACACATTCGTGTTCAATTTTTAACTTCGGTTGAGATGTCTGAATACATATCTGGCCTTCACAATGATTCGCGGCGACCTACCGCGTATCGAGTCAATGCTCCTCATCTCTCATTACAAGTTCTCTCTTTTCATTTCACTCGGGTACCACTACGCCGTTGTTCTGTACGACCAATGCCTGCCCTTGTCCAGCTGTTGCTGCATGAGTTACCCAGGCAATCTCCGTCTATCGTTTTTGCATGTTTTGGTTGAAACCCTTTTTTCTCTGTTATAGGCTTTCGGCAAAATCAACACTGATGTACCAATTGTTAGTACAGAGGTATCGGCCTTCATCTAGTAAGCCATCCGTAGGAGTCCATACCGTCTGCGATACCGTCTGTTGCTCGTCCGGCGTGCGTAATAGGTGTGCCTGCATTTTTTGTACGGGAATTTGTTCTAATTGTACTTTCCTACACTGCGCTGTTTGAACAGTTTTGTCCCGTATCTGTGCTTTTTTATTAGGGATGTTTCTCTCGAATTACGATTTTCCTTTGAAGGGCACCACTGATTTGTCGACGCACGTTTTTCTTTCAGGTCTTTATACACCTTGGCAGTTGTTATTGACAAGTACTAGGGGGCTTTTGAGCTTGTGCAACTTGCTTTACCATCTCAACTGGGATTATCGGCAAAATACAAATGTCTCATCATTCTCAAAAATCTATGCTTGGACATGAAACCCGATCTAAAAGGATGTCCTGGAAAGGCGGATAAGCTCTGGAAATCTTTCAGATGTGGTGATTTACAATGTTCATTTGCATGCACAAAGCTGTGACTGTCATCTGACAAAGGCATTTTGCCATTTGGCGATATTTGTCTCGTTTAATCAACTGCCGAATATCGATCATGAGCAGTTTGTAGAAATCGACTGGCTTGTCACCCTACAGCAATACCGCCTATAACAATTTGCTCCTAGGTCATCTCTAGGTGCAACGGTGGACGACTGCACACTTCTGATTGCCCATTCACTTGTTACAATACCAGTATCTCAATCATGTTGGTGTACATCGTTCGGGCCATTATCTTAAGAACCACGTCGGGGTGCACAGGTCTTTCTCTGTGTTCGCATCTGACTCGTTACCAGTATCCTCATTAGAGTATCGTTAAGCGATCGAGCAAGAACTCCTAATCTTCTGCAATAACGACGGCGCTAAAAGGTAAGCTTTTGAAGAATTACAAGCAACGTACTAAAATATAGGCGTAGTTAAACAAGAATTGCACATCTAAATATTTCCTTGACGTATATTTACTCACAAATTCTACTATTGCGATCATACCACAGTCTGGTGGAAGTTGACCCATTTCGTCTACAGTTATTACATCTCACAATACTATACATTGAGCGTTTTCAGAATCTGAATGGCAACCAACATCAGCAGCTCTAAAATGCCTACACCACTGTAAAATAAGGGTAAAGCTCTTGGGATTGGTTAATCGCTGAGGGATGCGTTACACATTCGTGTTCAATTTTTAACTTCGGTTGAGATGTCTGAATACATATCTGGCCTTCACAATGATTCGCGGCGACCTACCGCGTATCGAGTCAATGCTCCTCATCCTCCCAGACAAGTCTGGGATCAGTCTGGTACCAATTTATCGATCCCATAGGGGTGAGATGTTTTGTGAACCACTAGCGCGAGATCGAATATCAACCTCGTGTGCAACGTAGAGCATCTTCACTGCGCCACATGCGCTCAACACCATTATGTAATGTTCGGTTGCGTCTTAAGGTATGCAATCATATCTTGAAGCAAATGTGAAATCACTGTTTTATGAGTTTGATACAACACCCAGTCCAATGCATTGTCAGGATATTAGGTTTCTGTTCTTTGGAAAAACCAGATGTGTGCATTTGAACTGTGAATAGAACTTGTTCTACTTGAACAATGATAGAATGGGAAACTTGCACCATTCATTATCTCTCCTGAAATACCGTTATCTCTTCTCACACAAAAATCTGCCGCAATTAGTAAGTTTTCAATACTTCATGCGTCAGTAGTGCAGCGGTTTGAACACACGCCTCCGAATATGATGAAATGTGGGATCGGGTCCCACCTGACGCAAAAGTTTTGCGCATCACTAAACATCACAGGGTATATTATAACATTAAAAGGATAAAGGATAAAGCTCTCGGCGTTGATCAATCCCTTAGGGATGCGCCATGCATTCGACTTCAATTTCTAACTTCGTTTGAGGTGATTGAATGCATATCTGGCCTTTACAATGACTCGCGGTGGCCTCCGCTGAACCGAGTCAGTGCTGCTTATCCTCCCAGACAAGTCTGAGACCTATCTGGTACCAATTTACCGACCCCGGAGGGATGGATGGCTTGGTGGGCCATGAGCGCGAGATCGAACCATTGACCTCGTGTGCGACGCAGGGCACCTCTAACCACTGCGCCACATGCGCTCTTCATTATAACATTATACACCGCTAAATGCGGTTAAATAAAAGAAATTCTTTGATTTTCCAACTCTTTTTTTTTTGCACACATTGACTGTAAATGATTGGAAATGAACGGTGCACGAAGGTAAACTTTTAGTTGTAGTGAGAGTTATCAAAGTACTGACATTGCATTCAGTGTGCAGCATCGTTTTTGACGAAGAAGTCATTATTCTTTGTTTTTCAATCTCAATGTAAACTTTTGAATTTTGTATGAAAAAGGATATCATAATCGAAAGACTTGTCGTAAAATTTTTTGCTTAGCTTATTACATTTTATAAAATACACAAATTAATGATTGCGTATTAATCTGGAGCTCTTCCTTCACACAAAAAGCCGCGTCTGTCTCAAAAGCATATGAGCGAGAAGAGAAAATCGTGAAGTGTCAAAGTAAAGCAAGAGATCTGAACATTTCCTGAAGAAGAAAAAACCCCGATTCAGTAACGAAAGTCGCGCGCTGCTTCGTGATTCGTTGTCCTCCGTTTCACTAATAATGTCGTCTTATCTAGAGGTTTATACTCTTTATAGGCTAATAATCTCACGTTACGAGGTGGAAATTTTCTTTTCTCAATATGTTCATTCACAAATTACAAATGCAAGCTACTACTTTGCAAACTTTTTTATCTTTTTAACTTACAAATGCGCTTTGTATTGAGAAATTTAAATATCCACACAGAATCTTTATGGAATCTGGAGACAGCAACAGCAAAATCCTACAAGCGTCTTCTTATGTTTGAGGTTGTATTAAATCAAAATTAAAGCCCTCTTTGAACCCAAAATAATGCATCTCACAGTGCCATTTGCCCGCATCGAAGATACTAGAGGAGATTGTTTTTTATTTAAGAAGTATTCTATACAATTTCCTATTTTTTAGGACATACATCCCAAATGAGGTTCAGTGGGTAAATGCTGAGGTTGAGTGCGAATCGTTTTCCATCAGCAATGATGCAGCTGCTCATGACTGTATTATAGAACCTGATCAGGTATATCCTGCTTTTACTGTATCTCATTAAGGAATGAAAGATGAAAATTACTAACCGATTAATTCTTGAGAGATGCGCCACACATTCGACTTCATCGGGCATTGTTAGAGGTGATTAAATGCATATGCGGTCTTTACAATGGCTCGCTATAGACTGCTGATCTGTCATGTCAGTGCCGGTATCTTCCTAGCGAGTGTGGTACTACTTCGCTGACCCCAGAGGGATGGAAGACTTTATGAACATTGAGCGCGTGGTCGCATCGACCACGGCGGCGCCTCTAACCATTGCTCTACACGCACCTATGCCTCTTCCATAAGCCTTCTTTGTTGTCTTAATATTGGCTTTTCATCCAGTGTAGGAATATGCTCTATGATTATCAGTGAGAAATTTTTTTTGACAGTTGTTAACACTTTTCGGGCGGCGCGTTTTTCCGTCAAAAGAGCATGCCTTCTTTCTTAGCCCGTTTCAATGCAGATTTTTGTGAACTCAAAAAGGGCACTGTGAACTGATTGTTTGAAACAGTAGATTTAGTATTCTATCCTCGGAAAGTGAATAAGAGGAAAAGAAATTGCAGGCCGTAAAAGCGGCTTCCAATCGATGAAGATTGAAAGCCTGTCAAATCGTTATTGGACAGTGTAGGGTCCATATTGTCCACAACATCTTCCGCATATCGTGTTTTTTATGTATAGTATGGTTGGAGTCATAAGTGATGCCTTGTCATTTATTTTAAAAAACCTTATTTAAGCCATCTTCGTCGTCAAGTGGCGTTGTTTTGAAGTGCATGGACGTTATCGACTCATTGGGTGTACTCTTCCCAGGTAATCACGAAACGCTTGCAAAACATCTGTTTGGGTTGCTGTTGTCGGACAAGACTAGTGATGAACTTCAAACTGAGGTGAGCGTTATAAATAGCTGTGTCGTGGAAGTTAGCTTGAACTGTGAAGACAATTGTGAGTTCAAAATATGATCTGAATAAGCATTAATTATTGGAATCTCAATTACAGTTAATAGATCTTCTCGGTTTCGAGCAGTTCGAAATGGTCTGTAAAATTCTGAAGTGCCGTCCCCAACTTGTTGATGAGCTGAGAGCTGCACAGGTTCATAAACCTAAACTGTTGAAGCATGCACAGGAGAAGGTGTGTCTTTCATTTTTTACAACGTCATACGTATCTCATTTTAGGTGGTAATCAATGAAGATATAACTTCTTATGAAGATTCCAACTTATTTGCATTTTGATGTAGAGCGATGTGCAAAACTTTCGCGTCAAGCGGGACTAGAATCCGCATCCCACTGTACCTGGAAGCACATATTCTGACCCGTTGCACCATTGACACCCGTTTTGCTCACCACTCTTTCTACGCTACAACGCACCTACCCTTCAGCAACCAGCCGTAAGCGGTCTAACCGAGGCATCCGCAATCGACATTGACCTAATCACACTGACAGATATTGGATAATAGATAACGAAATAAAATTCCTTTTTATTTAACCGCTTCTAGCGCTGCTATGATGTTACAGATATACCTATTGATGAAGAGTGATGTGCAAATTTTTCGCGTCAGGCGCGACTTGAAACTGCACCTCACTCTTTCTGGAAGCGCGTGCTCTATCCGTTACACTGCTGACGCCCATTTTGCACATCGCTCATTCTTCACTATAGCGCATCTATCTCAGCTGTTTATGTCAGCCGCCAGCCGTCAACGACCTGGCCCGAGTACCGCTAGAATAAAAGAATTTCATTTGATCTTCAATACCTAATATCTATCAGCGTGACTGGGATCAATGTCGAGACCGACTACCCGAGCAGGCTGTTGACGGCTGGTTGCTGAAAGATAGATACGTTGTAGCGTAGAAAGAGTGGTGAGCAAAACGAGCCTCAGTAGAACAACGGATTAGAACAGGCGCTCTCGAATCGAGTGAGATGCGGTTTCAAGTCCCGCCTCACACGAAGATCTTTTTACATCAGTGGCTATAGTTGTAAGATCATACCACCGCTAGAAGCGGTTGACTAGGAAGGGAATTCTATTTTCACTTTTTTTTTTACAATAGACGTTCTTTCGATAATTGGTGGAGTTGGAGGGTTGTGCATCTGAGAGGAGTGTAAAAAAAATTGTTCTTTCTCTCCAAGGGTATTAATGGTATTGTACGTTGCTACTTGAGGGTACTATGGTTCATCATGGATTTAAAAGTGTTTTGCAACTTCCGCTGTGTTTGTCTCAGTAATTTTTATTCACATAATCTTTTTTCTCTCAGCCTCAGTGATTTTTATTCCTAATTTCCTACTACAAGATAACTATGATTCCCACAACAAAGAGTTTCTGATACAACCACTCCATATTGCTTAACTTCCTATGACCGCGTCACGTTGGTACTAGTCAGTTGATTTCCCTGCTACTTGTATCAGTGTAGTTTTATAGCCACCTTCACTTCAGAATGATGCTGCGCTGTATTGTCAGCAAGTGATAGTTCAAACCAAGGATGAAGCTGACATGCGACGGAACATTCGAAAGGAGCAAAAGCGTGCCAAGAAGGAATTAAGTCGGTGGGTTTCACGAATTTTATGCTGATACTGATGCATTACAAGTTTCTGTTTATTTGCGCATAATTTCAGAGTGGACGTTAGTTGTGTCCGGTGAAGGTTTCACGATTTTTATGAGTTGATATAATTTGTTGTGTATATCTTTTTACGGGCTACGTCAGCTTATTGGTTAGAGGTCCTGCCTAAGTTGACAGCACCTTCGCGATCTGTCCCAGGGATTGGAAAGTTGAGGCAAAGCTGTTCATCTTGCAGACGTCGGTAATTTGGTACATAGCTTTTTAGGAATAACGACTTTTTGAATCCATCACAACATCAGCGTTCCTTGTGCAGCGAATAGAGCGCGGAAGAACGTTCAACAAGTTGTCGAATGTACTTGAGCTATAACTTCCAATACAGTATAAGAACAATTACATCCTCACCTCTATCATGCTCAAATGAAGTTGATACCAAGGCGCAACCATAAGGTTCCTTGTCGCCTAAGAAACGTCTTTTGTTTCTGTTGTTTTGATCTCTACTACAAGTATCTCCTGCCTGTGGTTTTTTCAGATGGCATGTTGCAGTCGAATCTAATTATTACTTTTGTTCCGCTATTGCTTCTTCATCAGACGCCTTTGACGCAAATTTCGAGGACGAAAAATGATCTAGCAAGGTTGTAGAATCTCTTGCTTTTGCTGTGCATCGCGGTTTCATACACGGGAGCATCCCCCAATCCCGATGAGGTGATAAATCGTCTTTGTTCGGAGCCTTGACTCTTTGACCATTTCTATGGCTTTGGATTATGTATTGTTTGGGTTCGAGCTCCCTAATAAGTAGTAAATGGTTTTTCTTTCTTGTTGACGAACTTCATTAAGGTCTAAAATAGGTGATTTGGTTAGGTTGATGCATCAATCTTCTCCGTAGTGATTTAATTTAGAGAACAGTCGGTGAAAATCATCAAAAAATTAGGTACGTTGTTATGGGATCAAATGGGATAACTCTAATATTTAGTGTAAATCAAAAAGCGTTTCTTTGTGGATGTAAATCTTTATTCTTTCAGTGCTTTTGAAAGTTGGGTATTTTGAACATTTCTTAGTAAACCTAAGGTTGTTTCTCATCATA